GATATGGGTCGTGTGGAGGCACCTCTTATTGAGACGGAATGAGGTAAGGACAACGCGTTATTGGTGTGGTTAGCATGAGTTCTATCTTTCAGGCAAGCTGGTCCCTCATTCAGCCAAGACACACCTATTTATGATTCTATATTAGAGAAATTAGTTGGAAATAGGACATTACTTTATCTTATAAATTGCTGGATATCTTCGCTGGGTGAATTAAATCTATAATATCTTTCTATGGCAATGAGAATCTAGATCTTATTATCTTACCTTTCTAAATAGCCATTGGTTTGACTGAAGTATATCAGAAATATGAATCTTATGTAATTGCAATGTTAGCAAAGGGAGTAGGATGAGGTCCTATTAGTGAAGTTCGCTTGAAGGCTAATGTTGCAAACTAATATACAGTCAATACTGGAAATTTCCAGTCATTGCACCTAGATCTCATAGTAGAGTAAGAAGTGGAGCGCTTGTTAAATATGTAATTCAATCATAGTAGCAGGTGTAGGTGCATTGTTTCCGATGCGATCATCGCCGTGCATTAGTTGCCGGGCCACTCCGACTTGTTGTCGACTTGTCAAAGCAGAGTCTCATTTCCGGCGACACAGCCTTTGGTGAATCCTGGTCTGCAAGCTTACGGATCTCGAGAGGACCAAAAGAGCTGCGGCAAACTTCAAGTCTGGACGGCGATGCGCGGGCATAACCAGTAAGATTGTTGAGAAGACCCGCCAGCCGCGAAAGATGATCTTTATTCTCACGCTCCCAGTTTAGGATTTCATCCTTCATGTCTGATACGCGCACGCTCTTCATGACCCCTTCCTTGTGATATGCCACTGCGACGTTTGAGACTTGTGATGCCCAGAGTCGAGGGAAGACAGTGCTTAGATGGAGCTTTCGAAGATGGCCATGGTGATTGTACATGGATCGTAAATCGGTGTGAAGGATCTCGTTCTGAGCAATTGGCTTGCCGCCTTCCTGTACCTGCAACCCGCCGATGCCTTCAGTAAGACTGGTGATGTTAGCCTTGTCGGTGTTGGTGGATGCACTTCCACCCTGGAAAGCCAAATCCTGGTTCGGGATATAGGCATCTGACGCAGAGCGAACGACAATATTGATGCCTGCAAAATTATACCGAACAATGCGCTGATGGGCCTTGTATTCAGCGGCTATGTCTTCCCACTTAGTGTATCTCTTTGTGAACTCGGCCTCGTATTTATATTGAATGTCAGACTCAGGCAACCAAACCGGCGCGGGAACTTCTCGTCGAACAAACACGACCGTCTTGCCAATGCGCTCCATGATAAAGCGGATCTCCGACGTTAGACCACGGATGAAATCGAAGAGATCTCTGAGTGTGGCTGAACAGGTCACGATGGCGGTGCGATTAAGATCATAACTCGAATCCTGCCGCCGGATGGCTTCAAAAGATGCCTCCCAGGGATGAGCAAGTTCATTGATGGGCTTTGGGTTGGCCCATCTTGGATAGCCTGTCTCCTTGAGCTTCAGAGACTTCTTTACTGGAGTCCAAAGGGGAGGTCGACCTGAGATTTTGTGAGCTTGAGATCTTCCAGAGGCAGTGCGGCAGTAGCGAACAAGTATACCTGGGATCAAAATTGATGATTCCCCTGGATCTAACCGTGTGTAAGATGCCAGATAGTTGCAGGAGGTGATGCATGGGGCTTTTTGTGACAGTTTCACCCTATCCGATTCGAACTTGGCCAGCACAGGGCCTTTTGGTGGAGAGAGTGACTCCAGAATAACCTCCGCTCCTCTTGGGTGATTCCATGCCTTTTTACGGCGGAGCATTCTCCCGTGCACTGGTCTGTACATATTTGGAGGAGGGGTGTTATAGTGTGAGTAGAGTACTTACCACGATGCTGGTGGTATGAGGCAAGCTGGATCATGTAGAGAAGACAGGTGGATCCGGTTGGTCACCTTCCCCGACCGGAGCGGGGTTCCCAGCCTCCCCTTTAAACTCTCTCCTCCACAACAACAACTCCGGATATCCACAACTTTAATATTGCCCACACTGTATCTCTGTCGCCTGGAAGGAAGAAAATGGCAAAATAAATGAAATCGAACGGCAAAGGCGTACCAAATAGAATATCATTCACAATAAGAAATACCTTTGCAGCGTGCCTGCCGAATCGGGTATCGAATCGACGCCTTTTTTCTTTTCTTCTACATGTAATTAGCGAACATCTAATGCATCGTACAAGCAACCACAAATTGAACTACATCCTGCTTAGTTTTCGTCTTCTTTCTCTTCGTTCTATAGAGTTAGAACCCATTTGCTCCAGTACGGAGCAACCTTCGTAGAATAATGATTGAAAAGAAATTAGGTAAACAAAGAAGAATAGTCAATCGAATAATACTACTGGCTAGTCAAAGCTCGTATAGCTTCCATCGCGCACGCAACACAACAATGATCGCAAAGAAAATACAGATATTCTTCAAAAAGGTACTTCAGCCCTAACGGTCCAAATACTACTAGTACTATGCTTAAACAGAGAAGTCTCGTCCCAGCCGAAATCATTTTCGAACGACCTGGGTCCGCAAATTTGCAATTGCCACACGGATGATGGCGAGACGAATCTCATCATCCCTCTCAAAGAACTCAAAAGGGGCCACATAGTGGCGCTGATTACCTCGGTTGACAGCGATCGCCTTGAATATCTGCATCATACCTCGCTTGGTACGGATCTGCTTGCGGATATTCTCGCTGGAAGCTGACCGATCAGAAAGACGATGCTGAACGTACTGCAGGAGGAGTGCTGCGATGCCAGCCATGATAGGTGTGGCAGCAGAGCAGCCCGAACAGGGCTTGGTTTCATCCACGGCATGGCCGGGAATATCGTGTCCCAGGGTGCCGTAAAGCCGACCCTCATCGTCGACCGGCGGAGGGTCAAATTCGTCCACAAACCCGCCGGCACTGTTGGTAGCCCGTACTGAAATGACCGACTCCATGCTGGCTGGGAACATTTCGTGTCTGTTGGAGCCGTCATTCGCTGCGGCTGCAAAGAAGAGAAGATTGCCCTTCTTGATACGGATCGCTTCGGAGATGGCATCTCTTATGATTTCATCTTCGTTTGGGAATCCTAGTGATAAGCTTATGATGTCGACGTTCAGTGTCGTTGCTGCGTGGAGAATTGCCTGATGTTATTGTCAGAAAATATGCAACAATATGGAGTCTAATGGGAGATCACCTTTGCCACCACTACCTGTGAAGTTTCTAGATCCTGGCGCCTCTTAATCACACGCACTGTGAATATCTCCGCCTTCTGGGTCATTTTCATCAAAAGGCTAGTCATCGCGGTGCCATGCCCGTCAACATCGACCGGAGTACGCGAGTTCTCGACCCAGTCAACCCAGTGGCCGGACAGACGCTTCTCTTCATGCGTGTACATATCGAGATAACTCGAATCAAGGCTGTAGCCGGTATCAAATACGGCGATCCTAACTGGGTGGGCGTCATGATCCCGCATAGATAGAGGATGGAGCATGCGATTAATCCGTTCGACCTGCGCCAGCCAAAACTTTGGTGTCCACCTGTTCATGTTAGCATATGACGAAGGGGCATAAGGGAAGCCTTGTGGCTTACTTCGATAAGGCACGAGGTGGATCCAAAAGCGTCCTCGGGACAGGGGCAACACGTCCACTTGTCTTGTATCCTTCTCCAGCCATTAATACGCTGGGTGTTGGGCGCAACGTGCCTTCGTCCAGCACCACCGAATGAGAAGGAATATCTTGCCGAAGCTCGCATCGCTGGATGAGCTGCGTGAGAGCATTGATTGCTAAGTTGGTCTGTGAAAAAGCCTTCAGACTCTTGTCTACTTCAAACTGAAGCCTTTCATCGTCTTCCTTGGACAGTGTGTTGCGAGAAGCAATCATCTCAAGGGTACTGCAGTCATTTCTCTGACTCCTCCAACTACCCGAGAGCTTTTGTACAAGGGAGATTAGCTATGCCTTAATTCCCAGTATCAGGTCACGTACCGAGCAAGCTTTTTCCAACAGTCTCACCACATTATGTAGGTCTGCTGAAAGTGAAGCTCTTGAAGTTGAAGTGACTGCGGATGTCGATTTTGCGAGAAGAAACAGTTGAGTCCCGAGTTGACCGAGTTGAGGATTTCTGCTATCACATCCCGACTTGATGAGCTGGCTTCCTATCCAGGGGAAGGCTCTAGAAGCCAGAACTGAGTCTTTGGGATCAGCCATTGTGGCTTATGGGTCTGTTCGTGATTGATATTCTGAGAGATGATTGTCCTCACAAGTGACAGAGGATGTTTACCGTCATTTATATCCTTCTCAAACCCCTGCTTGATTGACGGCGCGAAAATTGTCATAGTAGTCGCGTGTTCAGCTCAGCTCTATTTGTGGAGACTCTTCTCATGAGACTTCATAGATTCGCCCACGTTGAAGTGCTAGTAACTGCCGGCGGTTATTCTCGATAAGTACAATGACATTTATAGAACCGGATATTGTCTCATGTATTTGAGCCAGATTTCCAGAGACTGATCTCATTGGGCCATGGTCATAGCGACCCCTTTGATAAGCGCCCACGTCAAAACCTCATGGTGTAACACCAAAGTAGACCCGCTACGATAGTGCACTTCAAGCGCGTAGAATGTCTTGCTGCGCGGGACGCCCGAACAATATCGCAGCCAATGGACACTCAATATTGTGCACCTGTTTTGCACCCATGAAGAAGTGTAGCAACAATCCTCAATCATTAACGGTCATCCTCAATTCCGTAGTATTGACAGGACCTCTTTAAGCGCCGTAGAAGTGGGGGTTATCCCATGCGCATACATGGTATACCTCAAAATAGAGCAAGCGCTTAGATGAAACATTTGAAAAGCGAATATGCATCTGCCCATTGTTTCCCACAAGACCATTGTTTCTTTTCACAGACCTGTCTTAGTTTAAGCGCTATCTATTCACGTATCTGAACATAAGACGTACGGAAAGAATTGGTGGAACAAACAGGCAAAAACACACCCACCCTTTCAGCATTTAACAGACCGGTAAATCTCCAACGGGTTAAATCCCACTCTCTGCTGCAAAATATTCAAAATCGGCTTAAACAACACCCTCCCCTCATACTCCTCCATCTTCCCCAGACGCTCTGCTTCCCGCTGCCTCTCAATAGTCACCTTCATTTCATCCCAAGTGACCCACTCCCAGCGGACACACTTCTCAGGCTCCATAACCTTCAAACCAAACCATCAGTATTCAATTGCTCTTCAAGTAACACCACCAGCAGATTACTCCAGAAATCAAAACAAAAGAGGAATATAAACAAACATACCACCGGCTCCGCATCCTCATCCACAAGCCTACAGCCCACAAAAATCGTAACATAATGCTTTCCTCCCTCCATCTTGGCATTGTTGATCGCCGTAAGGAAGCGTATATCAGTTACTTCGAGGCCCGTTTCCTCTAGAACCTCTCGAGCTGCACAGTCTTCAAAGCTCTCGTTGAATTCGAGGTGGCCGCCGGGATGACCCCATGTTCCTTGAGACAAATTAGAGCAATGTCTCAAGTAGAAGGTGTTACTGGAGGGAATCAATGGGTGAAAGGTAAGACTTACCGGCGCCGAGACTCCCCTTGCGTCGGCCGAGAATCGTCTGGCCGTGTTTGTTGAAGACGTAGACGGCGACAGCGACGCGAATTGTTTGGTCCATGGTGGTGGTATTTATGACGGAGTAATCGGTAGGGTGTAAGCGATCGATAATTACGTGGTTGTTACAAAGAGTGTCCTGCTCACTTAGGTTGAGGAATCTAATTTACATGCGGAAGGAGAAGCAGTCCGTCGGACAGAATTGGGATGCGGGCGGTGACTGGCGATAACGATTGCGGATAGACTCGATTCGCCAAGAAAAGTTACTTGATTGATAAGATGTGCGATATTGGGTTTATGTGTTGATCCATGGTTAATATAGCCATTTACCACAACTGTGCAACCGAAACTTCTAATCAGACTGAATTACCTACTGCGGTCATAGACGAAACTATGCACATCGATTTCTCTGGTTCTTCCCCCCTCTTTAATGCACACCGCACTAGCCTGAGGGATTACGGGTTCCTCCTAAGAAGCCTTGCCATCAAATCATCGTCTTGTATGATGTACATCGCGCAATTCAAAGTACGTGTCAAAATAGTGTATCAGGTCTTGAAGAACCATATTGTAACGAGCAGAAAAATTTCACCAAAGGCAGGCCTGAATATCGAGGAATCGCGAGGACTTTCACTTCTACCCGAGTCTATTCGCTTCTTCTAGTGATCCTCTCTCTCCGAAGGTAAGTCCGAAGGTAATAGAACCCCATGCCGATGATCCAGACCGAAATAAGAATTACCGCTTGCAGAGGTGCAAAGACGGCTCCCCTCACCACCACAAAACCACTGACGAGGGCAAAAACCAGCGGAATAGCGATGAAGGGCTTGTAAGGGCGATGAAGATCAGGCTGTCGGAATCGCAGAAGGATGGCGCCTAAAACGGTCAGGAAGAAGAACGAATATTCTCCCAGACCATTGAAGGTGAGTAGAGCGCGAAAGTTTCCGAACAGCAGGTACGGAATTGGCAAGAGGGTGGCCAGAATTGTGGCATTGATGGGCGCGTCCGATCGGGGAGTTGACTGAGAAGGAGGCTCCGGGTCAGGAGGCATTCCTACATGTCCAAGCACACCCAGGAACCGAGGGAACCAATCCAGCTTCGATGCCGCGACAATCATGCGACCGGCCACAAAAGAGTTTCCGAGCAGGGAGCCGGCGACCACGAGGCAGATCACTATGGCAGCGAGGATACCAAACGCTGGTCCTAGGAGATGGGTGATTGCGGTCTGTATGTCATTAGCGTATGTAATCAACGGGAGGGTGTTGCACATACGACGGCCACGCTGTCAGTGGTCGAAACGATCTTCCATGGAAGAAGGATATAGTACGCGGCATTAGCGGCAAGGAAGCAAAGAATTATGATGGGGAGTGCAGTGTTGATGGCCAATGGAAGCTGACGAGCAGGAGCAGAGAGCTCTGCGCTAACGTAGATTGCCTGTCAAAAAATGGTGAGTATTTTCACAGACACTTTGTAGGGGCTATATGCCTACCTTATCCCAGCCCGAATAAGCCCAGAGAGCACCATAGAGCGCGGTAGAATAGTAACCTAGCGATTCCCACCCGTGCATGGAGCTCCAGTCGATCTCCCGACCGTCCGGCGTCCAGGTGTTCCTAGATCCAAACCAAGAGTGCTTGAGCCAGTCATTTGACCCAGCATCGCGGTTGATTCCGGAGACTTGCAGGATGACGACAACTAGACCAGCCACCACAATAGCGGCAATGGCGATGAATTTGGTCGTGACTGAAAACCCATTCAATCGGGTGCTGACCTTGGTACTGATGGAGTTGGCCAGACCGATCACCAACAATACAAGAATGGAGAGCAGCTTATGCGAAAGGCTTCCAGCCTGATCGGTGACACCAGCCGCGGAGAAGATGCTTTCAATAAACACGATGCTCAAAATGGCCAGGGTTGCAGGCATCACAGCGATGATCCAAGTCCAAGCAGCAAGAAATCCAAAGACATCTCCGTAGATGTATCGAAGATATGGTTGCACGCCTCCTATTTTACAGTCAATTCAGTCGATATACCTGATGGCAATAGAGTGAACCAACCTTCGCCCGGAATAGCAGTGCCTAGCTCGGCCATAGTGCTGGCACCGGTCCAGGCCAGAATGCCTCCGACCAGCCACACAATAAGCGCGACTCCTGGGGATGGAACATTTGTGTCGATAGAACCCGGGGAAGTGAAGATACCACTACCGATCACAATGCTGATGACGATGCCGAAGGCCTCGATGGCTCCGAGATTGCGGGTGAACTTTGGGCCCAATGCGGAAGTGGACTCCGCTCCGGGTTCGGTGCCATCGGTCCCTCTGGAATCGGCCAGGAGCGGGCGGCGAACACCCTCCTCTTCCGACTGATCGTGCGGAGACATGGAGGGCAATTGATGACAGTTGTTCAGGTTAATGAGTGGTCGTTAATGACACTGAAGGGATGGGAAAGAGGGGAAGAGTCGGCAGGATCAAAGCGAATCACGCCATCGGCTGGCGCGAACGTTTCATGCACGTCTGGCTTGATCACTTGCAGGGAGAGGAAGAAGCTGCCTCTCTCAGGGCGGTGACTCTGATAACATTGGGGCATTCACAACATTCCCACGTGACTTCTCCTTATCTGCCTCTGAAAATACACTTTGTCGCAAGGAATATATGAAGAACCCTCAAAAGTATACCTCTGGCTAGGTGTACTTAATTTGAAATTATTCCAGTGGGTGTTATATCCACGCTTTCGGGAGGGACCATTAGCGTGCGGACGGCTCAATCACCCATACTAAGAGTTTGCAACAACTAAGGAGGGAGGGAGTAGAAGACTCAGCATAGAATATGTAATATACTAATTTCCTAACCATTATCATTGCCGCAAAAATAATTCAAGTACAACTACTCGCACCATACTCCTGAATTAGAAAACTACAAAGGTACCAAAATTGTCCTGCCTAACGCGAGCATAGTATCATAGCCATGCCATACTCTTCAGTTTCTCATCTGTAAATTTAAATTATTTTGTGACTATAAGAGCACACCAGTGCATCCAATACATTGTTAAAAGATAAAGATAGAGAGTGTGCACAATGCCACTCATGGCACAATTCACGCAACCATACAAAGCAAAAAGTGACGAACACTCGCTTAGGATTCTAGCGTGAATACATTCACTTCACGCCAAATATACACGATGAAAAGCAACGCTACTCATCTCAGCATGATCTCTCACCCAATACCTACTGCACGTATCGCAAGCTGTCAATCATGCAGACCGATCAGCCACCCAAGATGCCACCCAACCCGAAGGATGAATCCCGCACCCTAAAAAGCGTCAGAAAGATAATGGAGAAGCTAGAAGGTCGCAACGTCCTCAACTTCATATCCCCTTCTTTTTGCGATGCAAACAACATAGTTCTGCTGCCCCTGGATCTCGAGGCCAAACACCATGGAAAGGGTAAATCTTCAACTACTCCCCTCCTCTTCGAACCTCTTCCAATCGAAGCTTTGCACACCTATCCCATCGACCCTCACCCCTACACCACAATAGACAAGCGTGAAGACTCCTGCTACACTATTAAAGACTACGCAACTATCAAGAAAGACTCGTGCGAGTCATATCCGCCCTTTCGCTTGAAAGAAATTGCCATCAAGCTAGAAAGATGGATCCATCTCGCTCCACGAACTCATCGCTATTATGCCGCGCCCGCTACTTTGACGCATATTGGGATCTGGTATCCGTCCATGTGAGTACTTTGTATTAACCCAATAATACATTCAAACAATCCCATGGCTCTAATCTGTTGATGAATGCACCAGCACAACCGACAAGTTGTACGCCCGGACATCCAACATTTATGACAAGCTCGGACAATATCTGTACACGGTGAATCGCTTTTTCGAATGTATAGATGATAGGTACCCATATATCGTCATGATCACTCAACATTGGTGCCAAGAAAGATGTCCTGAGGACTCTATGATGCGATTTGAGCTTCTGGGCATACTTCAGACGATGCGCACGCGTCTGGAGCAAGATGAAATAGATTCGGAAGGGATGGTGCCTGTATGTTTCTAAACCCCCTGTGATAGATGTTGAATTTGCTGATCACTGACACCGATAATAGGTCCTCATGGTCTCGTTTATGATACCCTCGCATGCTCGGGTTCTGCAGGCACACATGCACAACGGGAAGTTGGTTGTGGCGCACAGCCGCATTTATAGCTTCGAAACTATGCGTGAGGCGCCGATGGATCTGTTCACAAGATGGTTGCTTTCGACTCCTGTTGGGTTTTTTAAGGAAACTTAAACGGACGGCCAGTACCCTTGAATTGAATTGATGGATATGAAGGACAAGTGGAAGGCGATGGTGGTACATAGGAGAAGTTGTAAGGGAACCGAGGAAGCCTATCTCGCAGAGAGATTCGGGATTAGTCGCTTGGAATATCGGTCTTTCAGATTAGCTTGATGGGTTAGACACGGAGTATTTAACCATACTCAATAAGATTAAATATTAGCCGGTCTGAGTAAGTCTTTTCCTGTGTAGACTGTATACTGCTACAGGTCAAACTTGCCCCATGGGAATAGCATGATGTGATACGAGACGAAAGCTGAACCTAGGAAGAATGAGCGCAAAGAGCCGATAAATAGTCGGAGGAAGAAGGTTCATAATTACATCTAAATGGGTAATGTCAAGAAAGCAAGACCGATAGTCGATTTTGAACACATGATGGCCACTCATGTTTACGGAGTTTCTAAAGTCAGTCATTTTTATCAACTAACACAAAATAACAGGCAGGAAGAGATAAACTTCTTATTAAGGTGGCAGTAAAGCCTATAATAGCATCAAGAACAATTATTTAGATAAGATTTCGAATACCTCAAGCATCCGCAAGGAGGTTTCCGTTTATATACTTCAGGCCCGTATCCACGGCGACGGTAACCACCCGTCTTACCCGGGCCCAGTTCTTTGGCAAGAGCAATGGCCGCGACAACATTAAGACCAGTCGAGGTTCCAACCAGTAGACCTTCCTCACGAGCCAACCGCCTGCACATAGCACGACCTTCTGCCTCTGAGATTCCTCGTGCTTCATCATACAGCTTAGAATCGAGATGTGGCGGCACAAAACCAATTCCGATTCCCTCGACGCTATGAGATCCAGTGCGCCCTTCAGTAATGACAGGAGAAGAGGCCGGTTCGAGAACTACAACTCTCGTATCCGGCCACTTTGATTTCAAAACGCGTGATACTCCCATAACCATGCCGGCACCTCCAACCGTACCACAGAAGGCATCAATACCACCGGGAAACTGCGCTGCCAATTCCTCGCCAAGAGTTTCATAACCAGGCAGGGCATCACCATTATTGAACTGATCAGCAAGGTAATGGCCATCTTCTTGTGCGATCTCTCGCGCACGACGCACCATGGAAGGAATAAGATCCGCCGTGATTGTTCCAGTCTCGCTATGGACAATCTCAAGGGTGGCGCCCAGTGCGCTCATAGTGCGCAGCTTCTCAACTGCAATGGCATTCGATGAAACCACTCGAAACCGGTAACCCTTCACTGAACAGATGAAGGCAAGGGAAGAGCCAGTGCTGCCACCAGTAGCTTCGACGACTGTCATACCAGGCTTCAGCGTGCCACGACGCTCGGCTTCTTCAATGATGGATCTAGCCATGCGGTCTTTGTATGAGCCTGTTGGATTGAGGGATTCAAGTTTCAGTTAGACATTTGCGTGATCTGCTGGGACGACATTGCGGAGGCGAACAACTGGATTGTTCCCAATTGCGTCCAGTCCTGAGTCCACGGGAGGAGGCGGAGAAGGCATGGTTCTGTGTTATGAGGTTTCTGCGCGGGCTGACAAGTTCAGGGTCCAAACAGAACGAAGAAAATTTCAGATACATTCATCCTGATATCTGTGCAGCTCTGTCAGGGTCTACTTATGGCGCGATTAGTAACTGGCTTTCCATTAGTAATGAAGCTTGGTTTGGCGGGGCTGTTGTCAATGTGAGTCAATTAGAATGAACATCCGTTTCCGAATGAATCTTCTTTCTCCGTGGATCAAATTGTTTGTCTTCAAGAGATGTTCAGGCGATGTCTTATGAAAGTAACTTCAAGATGTAGAAGTGTGCTCTTGAGGACTAGCTAGTGGCCACTTGCCGAAAGTAACACGGCAGCCATGGTGTCGGATATAGGAAGGACCGATATCAAACAAATTCCTTCCTAACCGGGCTACATACGAGACCAATATTGTGCTTTCTTCATCCCTTAGTCGAAGATCGATAAATCGATCTAACATCTACCCCTCGTAACAATTGAGTTATGTTCTGTTCACAAGAAAGCAGAACAGCGAGGGGTGTTTGCATTGTTTGCCGGTAGGAAAATGCCAACGCTTGGCAAAGTCTTAGTGTGGCTTGGCAATGGCGCCCAATCCCGCTGAGTCATCCAGACCCGGGCCGGTTCATGCCGAAATCGGAAGGCCAGGCCGAATCATCTCGACCGCGTGCATCTGAATCGGATATCAGCCACAACAACAATTCAGCGAGACTTCCCCAGGCCGCTGATCAACCCATAACGATCATTATGACTCAATGAAGCGAGCCACGGCTCTCTCAGCGCTGTGGCTGAGGCCATGATTTTCGTATGCCCCCGCTTGGCGCCTCCTATTGAGGGCACTAGCCAGCCCTGTGCTGAGCAGGAGTGGGTCGAAGTACGTACGCTTTTTCATCCACTTGTGGCAACCAAGCTCACCGTGACCATAGGGCTTTGTAGTGAACATTTGTCCAGACTTCACAAAACCTCGAATGTGTCTTGCGTGACTCGCATCGTAATGCAGTGAACGCGTACGGCCATGTCATCAAAGTTTCATGATGCCCATCATCTCTGGATCGGGATCTTCCCCATTGCCCCCTTACGGGGCGACGACGAGATCTGAGCCATGCTGCTCCTGGCTTAACCCATGGTACTATAGCATCGCAGGCGAATAGGGCGATGTATTGAAGGTTCACTAGCGTCATAGTCCGATTAGCTCGGCGATAAATCCACATCGGCCACAGGCAACATCGTTTCCTTCGAAGGCTATGTCGTCAGATGCAATATCCGAACTGGGGAAAAGACCCCTCCATGAGCGTCATTTGCTTCCAAAATTATCTCTTATTCCTCTTCGCTGGATCGCAGACCCTATGTGGTCTCCACATCCCTAATGGCGCCTCCCAGGGGGCCACGAGTATAAGATCCCCCACGATCTCTCGCAGACCCTCACTCATTCTTAACAACATCTACAAGCCACGCACTTTCATCAAACAAACACCTCAAACCTTTCTTCCTACAAACAATCAACATGGGTCTTTTCCACCACCACCACGAGAACCAGCACGGCCCTGGCGGCCATGAAGGCCCCCACGGCGGTCCTCAGGGCGGTCCTGGAGGTCCTGGCGGCCCTCACGGCGGTGGCCCTGGTGGTCCTCATGGCGGTCCCGGCGGTCCCGGCGGCCCTGGAGGATTCGGTGGTCCTCATGAAGGTCCTGGTGGCCACGGAGGCCCTCACGGCGGCGGCCACGGCGGCCCTGGTGGTCCCCACGGCGGTCCTGGCGGCCCCGGTGGTCCCGGTGGCCCTCACGGAGGTCCCGGCCGTTTCTAAAGCCCTGACGGACTACAACTCGAGGTACGCGATGATGCTCTATGATCTCCTTTTGAAAGGATTCAACTGACTGTTATCGATTAGTTCCGCAGATGATCGATCGTGCAACCATTCGAGCGAAGTGATATATTGCATTAAGTCATGTTGGATATGATTGAAGTTTTTGTGTATATACCATGGTCGTGATATCATAATGATACGTACTCATTGAGAAATGAGAAATTCTGGTGCGGTTATGGACGTAAATGAGGGGGGAGATGTCGTATGCATGTAGCATTGAGACCTGCGACACATGCTGGTATATATCACTTATCGTCACGGGAATACAGATGGCATGTTCAGGGATGCAAGAGCATGCATTATGGTTAAGAAGAACCAATGACCGCTATTATTGTTTGTCCTATTTCACATGCAGCAAATAAATATTACCACAACAAGTAAATAGTGCCTCTATCTTTCTAGCAGAGTTTATATACTACGTATGGCCAAGGAACATTCTGAAAGATGTCAATGATCTATCCTACACTACTCAACACCATCTCCTCATAATCCAACACATGCAACCCCCCCTCAATCCTCCTCACCTTCCTAAGATCCAACTTCGGCTTCATTACATCGTTAACATTGGACACCACCACCCTTCCCCCATCCAGCAAAGTCCCCAAATTAAACATAGTACTATAAACCAACCCCTGGAAACTCGCCCCCTCGAACGTCTTCTGCTCCCTCGGTCCATCATACTTATACTGGATATCCGACCCCTTCGAGGGTAGGCCCGCGCCCTTCCAGTTACCGAAAAGCGAAGGATGTGACGAAATACACCTCAAGTATCCGGTCTCGCATAATCTCCCCAACATGACATCGTACACGACACTCTGACCAGGCGGCATGCTCTCATCATCGGGTAAAACAGACAACGCTGCAAGTATCTTCTGTGCTGCGTTAAATGATACCGCATATGCGCTGGAGCAGACTGCCAAGGAGGTTTTGCAGATAATGCGGTTGTGTTTGATGTTGTCGACAAGTTCGTGGACGGCTGGGCCGGCCCAGTATTGTGGGAGGCCGTAGACGGGGATAGATGTTGGGTCATTCTTTAGTATGTAGAAAGGGGTTTTCTTTTGGCATTTTGTTCCGCAGTGGCCGAGCCAGAGGATGTCCCAGTCGTCCCCGTAGGGCGTGGTCTTGGGATGGTGTTCGGCTTGGAGGGCTAGGGTTCCGAGCGCAAATTCTTGGAGTTGGTTCTTGAGAGTCACGTCCCAGTCGACATCGTCTTCGAGTATTAGGGCACTAGTTATGCGCTCTGAGACGATGCTAATTGAAGTCAGTTTTGTGTCTGACTTTTGGTGGAGATGTGATTACCGTTGCATCGCGTTCAGGTGGGCTCGCCAGCTGCCGATTTCACCGGCTAGCATGCGAGGTCTATCGGGTTCGTCGTACCGCTGGAGAGAGCCTTAGTAGATAATATGAGACACAGTGGCCAAATGAATCTTACTGGAGGATAGGCCTTCGGGCTCATATCTTCAGAGGATACGCCATCAATCCAGTCCACGCGGAACTGCGTGACTGATGAGCCTAGTGTGATTGCATCCCGTTTATCGGGTCGACTGGGGAGGTTGATACAGAAAATCCTTTCGAACTACGTCTCGATTAGAACTCGGATATACTGTATTGTCTGGGATGAGAGCTCACCCCTAATGTTTCATTTGTGATTGTTGCCAAATTTAATCCGTCTGCTGAACGCAGCCCCTGCAACCCAGCATACCGTTCACCAGAACTTATCAATAATGTACCCCACAACACGAGGATAAACACAAGCGATAACCCCGCATAGAGCAATTTCCTTTGCCGATTCCTTTTGAATACTTGGATTGAAGGAGAGCTGGGCAGGTTCAATTTCAGCGCGCCCATGGTGAGCCGTCTAAGGACATGGCCGGAAGAGAGGGAGGAAGAGGAAGAAGGCGACCCCCAAAATCAATGATTCCGACCGAGGAGTTCCTTTCATACTTTTATCGCTAAACTGTGAAGCCTGCAAGCTGGTGGGGATGAACTGATAGCCGGAAGCCTATCGTGATGGACTTGCATGACCGGCGCTTAATGGGGCGATTTCATTCGCCGAAACCCACCGCTAAGCATACATTACGCACCCCAAGCATCGAATGATCACATCCAAATGTTCCAAGCGGGGAATCATGCTGACACCATTGTGAACCATTGAAGGAAATGGCGGGCAAAGAAAGAGGAGAACCAGAGGCCTCAGCCTCGCATGCTTTTTCACATGTCCCAGACTATTTCCTCTACAGGCATGGCAACAGCCTGTGTGATTGTTGGTATTGGATCCCCCTAAATAACTTCATTGCGCAAATTGCTAAGTATTACCATTTGGAAACAATTTTATTGAGACTTGGGTGTTCATATCTTGCCCTAGGACAATCATGAAGCCTGTCACGTGCCAGACCATTGTGCGTCCGGCCACAGCGTCACGTGGCATATCGCGCACCTCGCTGGTCCAAGCTTCATGCTCGGTTCCACCTCGAAGACCCTTAATCTTTTTCTCATATTCATGAAAACATCAATGAGCTCATGTCCTCGGGTCAGGCAGGGATACTCCGGGTTGCGCCGGTGCAGAGGCGACGAGGCCGTCCAAACCGGGCGTGCGATGTTTGCCATGTTAGGAAGGTGAGAACACCCACCCTGGACCTAGACACATACAATCTAACCACAGAACTATTTTAGATCGCCTGTGATCGGGCAACACCAAAGTGTGACTGGTGCGCCTGTCATGATCTACAATGTACCTTTTCCAGATCTAGCCCCGGGGGCTCTTCAAGGTGGGCAATATTAGCGCCCAAGTCGAATTAGACTAACCCTGTTGTCTTCGCCAGTATAAAGCAACAAAGTAGCAGACTTAAGTGTATGTATTGCCCTTAATAAACCACTTCTTTACTTGCTGAGTAATTTCATCTAAATGAGGCCTCGCAAGCGCAAATCCTACAATCACGGCGTGGACTCCGGCCGTTGGCTACAATGACCCGTTTGCGGGCCGCCACTGGGGGAATGTATGCACGTTCGATGGCACGCCCATCTTCTCGGCAAGCGGCTTGCAATGGATAACCGCATGTACTGGGAGAGAGCTTACAGTCGCTCATTATCCAATCTCCGAGGCTCCCAGGTGGCTAGACTCTGCTGATCCACCGTCTCCACTGCCTGACCAGAACCACTTATACGTAGAGATCCAGAAGTATCAAGCTTCTGAATTCAGCCTTTTCTTCCCCATCCTTGACCCCTCGCTGGTAACTCACACTATTCAAGCAGCATATTATGGACAGATATCAACAGGATCGCCTTGTTTGAGCTGCGCCAGGGCCGCGATATTTGCTTTTCACTCGCTTGCGTTATCTGTGGTGCATGGGGACGAGGACGGTGCGCTGGAGTCAAGCGTTAGATATGCTCGTGAGGCATATCGCCTTGTGCCAGAAATTATCAAGGGAGCTGCAACACTGGATGGGCTGCAGGCTGTTCTCATGCTTGTGAGTCGACCTTTCTAACATAATGTCCAACGGAGATTAACTCCAAACCCCCAGTCTTTGTGTTGCCAGGGGCTTGCAGCAGACTTTTCAACCATCGATCACCTACTGACAACGGTGGCCCGGTTAATATACCAACTAAGGCTGAATTTATCTCCTGATCATGCGGGAGCTACCCCTCTAGCCGTCAATATCCACGCACGACGTTTATTCCGCATAGCCTACGTTTGTGACAAAGGCTTGACCCTGCTAACTGGCCTTCCCCCACGACTCGAAGACTCTATATGTGATCCAGCGCCTTCCCTCTTCGAAAACTCCAATGACCCTGCAAGCACCACAAATGCTTACCTTGACGCATACGTCTGCCTGGCGCGCATCCAGTCTTGCATTTACCGCGGGCTATACTCCCTTGAGGCCCTAATACAGATCTCTTCCGAACAATCCGGAACCTAGATCAGGACTTGGAGAAGTGGAAGGATAGCTTACCGCTACCAAATCGACCCACGCTGATACCCGCTGAACATGACCTGGTGCTTCAAAACACCGATATGCGGTTCTCGGTCTTTCATTTGCAATACCACCATTGCTTGCTTATGATTCACCAAGCCAGCAGCAGGTGCGCCTCGTGGATCGGGAATCAAGATACTCAAAATACTTCTTCGAGCCTTGCGATCTCCGTGACCGCGAGTCGAGCCTTTCTCCGGACATTTGTCTTCCACCGTGTGGAGCTGGGTCCGCAGAACCTTCTGTGTGTTTTCCCCTGTCATTTAGTCTCCCGCCTTTGGCCGAATGTCCCACGCCAATTGGTATGCTAACATCCAATACCAGTTTCTGTCTAACCTACTTCATCCAAACCGCCATAAATCTATTTTGCAATGTCCTCTCACACCCCCTTCATCCCGAAACCAATGAAGACATGAACCTCATGGGTCTAATTTCGGATCTCATTGCTGCTAAGAAGAGAGCAAGGGACCCTGTATGCTACGTTGGGAAGATCACCTTTGCGCAGGAGTTTATCCTTGAGCTGAAGCGGCTTGCTCGGTGTGCTGTCGATAGGGCAACTGCAGCTCGACAAGCAAGTATGACTAGGAACTACGCTTATTATTACTCATCTACATTTCTATGATATATCAGGTGTGGCTTATGTTCATGAGCTACACCCTGCCATGATTCCCGTGATGGAAAGAGGTTCTTGACTGATGTATAGTGTGAAAATGTATAAGAATCCACACCGTCCATCACAGACAAAACTATAACAAGACTTGTTGAGCTGGCCGCCCGACAGGCAATGATGGATTTCCAGGGGATACGGTGCCGATGAGCGCTGGAGAATATCCTGGACTCCTGTAGATTCAAGAAATTATATAATGTGCTGTGCAAAACTCCTGCTTAGTTCCATAAACTTGGAGTTATGATGCAAATATTAGCACTCGTGAAGCAGAGCGAGACTTCCATCACCACATTTTATATAGTACAGCTATGACCAGTCCTTTGCAAGTTCCTCATCTATCATCTACCAGCTATTCATGACATCATATCTCGTCCAGGTATACCAGGCGCGGTAAAGCTCCGTATCAAGGCTGCTATTACCTTTATATTGCCAGAACCCTCGGGGCAAGAAATAATATGCACAAGCCCCAAATCGACACCGAAAATCCCAGCACCGGGACGTTTAACTGGGCGCAACCCGGCCTCGACGCTCCAGCCCACTGAATCGAAGCAGTCGCAGGCGCAACACCCGCCGTTGTAGTAGATCCGGACCCGGAGCCAGAGGCATCAGCAGAAGCCGGCAGACTCGACACCTTTCCCCCCTGCATCACAATACTCTCAAAGTCGCCACTCTTGTCACTATACGTATAGCTCTCCGCCGGATAATAATTAACGATATCCACACTTCTCACAACCATAGTAAACGGCGCCTGAGAGTAATCAGTCTCCCCACCCGCCCAATCAATCGTCCCCTGGTTATTATCCGGATCGCCACCAGCCCAGATCCCAATTCTGACCTGCATGGGTGTCTGCGGGTAGCGGGTTCCGTTCGCGGCGTCGGAGTAGGAAAGTGTGCGCGTGGCCGTGCCGTCGATGCTCCACGTCAGGGCCGCAGGGGTCCAAGTTAGGGTGTAGTTGTGAAAGGTAGATTGAGGGTCGTCGATGGGCTCCCAGGTCCAGCGGTTGGAGGTGGAGGAGTCGCCTTTGCCGAAGTAGTCGGTTTGGAGTTTGGTTGTGTAGCTTCCTAGGACTTCCTGATTCGCAGGAGAAGGTATTCATTTAGCTGAGGGTGTCCTGGGTACAATGTGTGGTGGTGGTGGTGTTTACCCAGTCGACTTCGTCGAGATCATCTGACTCTAGAACGATACTGCTGATTATGCCCGTGCCGGCGGAAGCTTTCATAACGATGCTGATCTCACCGAAGAAGATGTAATATGGCGTTTCGATTTTGGGTGCATCACCCTGCTTGTTGATTGTGAGTTCGACGCCCTCGGAGCTGATAGTTGGGTTGCCTGAGAGAGTCGTCCATTCTGCGAGTGTTGATGAGCTCTCGACGAAGTTGTAGTGTAGTGTGCTTTGCGTTGAGCCTGTGTCGGACGAGCAGGTCTTTTCTAGAGGGTTGCAGTTGGTGTAGGTCTGTGCAAGGGTATAGGGGAGTGTGGAAAGAAGCGTAGTGGTATATTTCAGTAATGGTGACATTTTAGGAAGCGGTGAGCCCCTATTGAAATTGATCTTTGAGGGACTAGTATCGATACTTTGTAAGTTTCTTGTTGAATTCCTGACGAAGAGGAAGTTATATGTTGTGCTATACTCATGGCCGATTGTAAAATATATATTCCCCAGTAACATGGTGCTTTAGTACTCCGTATAATCTCGCCAAATTGATGCAACAACACCACAGCTTCAATGTCCTGCTCCCAGCCTCCCAATAAATCTCATTCAATCATGATTCTCGAGATGCAGCTTGTGGGTTGCTTTTAGTGCTTTCAGATCCAAGTGTAGTCAGGTCATTGTGGTGGACACTATGAAGCACAAAACGGGCTAGATTATCCCGCTTTGTCATGGCGTTGTGGGGATTGATTTAAATTTGGCGAATAACAGCCCGAGAAAAATATTAATTTCCGATTAGTCAGAATGTTATATGTTCCTAAAATCCAGTCGTAAAGTCCTTAAGAACTTAAAGTGAGCGAACCACGAATGGAGTTAATGAAGCCAAACATAAGACAGCGATCCAATGCAAAAGCGGCCGCTCCAGCCCATGTTAGCATGTAACTTGAACACTGGTCTACTGAAGATCACCTCAACCTCGGCCCAATAACCAACCCACCTCTATAACCATTTTGCCCCACATAAATCATTTTTGGGAAACGACTTTCACAACAACAGGTGCTGTGGTCTAGTGGTATGACGTCACGTTGTGGCCGTGCCAGCCCCGGTTCGATTCCGGGCAGCGCCAATACGAATAACTTTTTTTTGGCGAGTGTTGTCTATTCCTAGCTAAATTTGAAGAGATGTCTTGTAATAGGAGCCCCCATCTATATCTATACAGAGTATAGGTTCAAATTTTGCCGCTGCCACAAGTTCTTGTAGCGGAGAAGACAAACTTCAAGAAAGAGAAAATGGAAAAGCCAATATAAATTCATGATATCTCGAATGACGGTTTTTATTCATACCTTTGTCTACTGCTTTCTAGATATTGAATTTCATGCTGAATATCTACAGATATTTTTGGGATACTATTCTGCAGTCCAGGGTAACTACCCGGGGAATGAATAATGTCCAATTCTTTACCTGTTATGCTGCACGTTGAGCAGCAGCTGTCCCTTATATCGGTCATCTACTCTTCCCAAGTATCTGATATGTGACCGTCGTACATGACGAATGCATGTGCATTCGATTGCAGTCTATATGAAAGTAACAGCTATGACTCACTAACCAAAACAGCCTCTGGTCCTGTGAAACCCTTCAGTATAGTTCCAGCCCAATCAGTTCCCTCGCCCGCTTCGAAAGCACCGGGCTTTGTAACGGCCTCTTGATGGTCGCTTCGTAGGTAGGATGATCTGCCGGTGGCAGGTACTCCCTGACTCGAAAATCGGCCGGATCATGTGTTGTATTCTGCCTCGCTTCGAAGGCCTGCAGGCGCACCTTTTTCGCCTCCTCTGAGATGGCGGCGGCTGGCTTGTAGCAGACATCTTAGTTTAGATAGTTAGTATTTTTATACTATAATGAGATGAAGAGTTGGGCATACAGGCAGCGAAGCGGTCATTGACAGAACAAGGAGCAGCGCCGTAATGGATCGTGCGCTAGTGAGCTGTTAGCCAACTACAAACTCAAAATATATTAGAGACAGCAGCACGCACCGAGTCCCAGAGTAGCAGATCGCCAGGCTCTACGCACACCTTGGTCCATTTGCATCCCCTAGCCTCAAGCCACTGGCACATCTCCTCGTCAACACTCTGGTATGCCCACGTGCTCCACCCTTTTTCACCCTTCTTGTGGTCAAAGTGTCGCCACAGCTCAGTGTAGCAAGAGCTTGACCCTTCAAACACCATCAGCCCGCCATCGTCGGGCCCATTGGGGAGCAGATTCACAATTCCCTGGACGGTGTCAAACTTGTTGTTGAAGGGGGACTGGTCAACATGCGCCCACGGCGCGAAAACAGGATCTGTCTTGGGGCGTTCCCTTTGGGGTAAGGAAAGGTTCACACCGTCTGAGCAGTTAGTACTAAGTATCTTCAGAAAAGAAGGGAGGTCTTACCAAACGAGACTAGTAGCTCGCGGGTGCCCCAGATCTGCTCCCACTTCTCCACAAGCCCCGGCTCTGACTTCAAATCCCACACGAACTGCTCGTGGCCGACGCCGTACCTATGCTTGCGGCAGTGTTACTGCTGCCGCTGCCTATTACAGTGCACGATAGCAAATAATGGGGACAAACCTGCTGTAAAGCCCCCCGTGAGTGTGCCAGGGAAGGTTCGCTGCCTTGCGGGTCGACGGGTCCTTGCGGTCGAACCCCAGGTTCCAGCTTTCAAGCCATTCGTAGGCCTTGTCGGCGTAGGCTAGTGCTCGGTCCCTTGGTAGGGCACCGCGGACAACCGTCCAACCCTTTGTGTGCAGCTCGACCAGCCAATCGGGATGCTGTAGCAAGCGTGGTGAGCTGAATGCATGGATATAAGCACGGATAGCGGGGTCGTAACAGACCTTTTCGGCATCCCCGTCAACAGCCGCGAGCCGGACGGTAGGGCGAATCTTAGTCTGCGTGCTGACGGTAGTTTCGATGGAAGTAGGCATGACTTATATTAGAAGTGGCTGATGGAAATTAAGTCTTGATTGTTGGGGATATGGATACGCATGGGGAGGTGAGGTGGGGTAAGGTGAGCACTGAGCTAGTGTACTGGCGTGATCGAAGCTCGATTATGGCGGGCCAGTCACGCCATATTATCTTATCTACTTAGCCTCAACTCTAGATACAACCAGAAAATTTCTCATTGGATGTCATATCATGACCTTTAATCTTTCTACTGTATCCCCACATTCGAAAACCCAAGACGGCTGAAGAAATGTTATGAAAAAAGCATTGAATCGTACAGCTCTGTTGCAGCTTTCGCAGCCCTCTATATGCTTCGTCTGACATATCTGAGAGACAGTAAGAATGCGGTCAGCAACCGGGCCATATTACTTGACAATGTTAGGACTGACAGAAGACTTTAACAGATGGATTAACCAGTCGTGTGGCAACCTATGCGCATAATGACCGACTTATTAGATAGTATTTTGTGTGGTGACGCAATTTACAGGCTTTTCAGTATATTTGAATGCTCTGCGAGACCTAATTAGAAGCCATAGTCTCTAGATTCTGGTCGAAGGCAGAGGTGGGATGAAGCTCGGTTTTATATCCCTTGCCAGTTTCTCACGAGCGAAAGATGTCTTTAAAGTCCATACTCTCGGTTTGAATACAATACGAGACACCCTAAGCATTCCCCAGGCATCAAACAAGGTGGATGAGATTTTCTCCTTTCGCTTCACTCTAGCAGTCATGTCCTATATCAGTTCAACCGTACATAGACATCAAAATCCCACATATATCCGACGGGGTTTATGTAAAGCCATCCAGCTAACCACTAGCTTTCCTGCCAACCACCGTAAGCCGAGTAAAGGCCCAGTACGCTCCTCCATGTGTTTCCTCCACAGCCTCGGGTATAAGCCGCGAAAATTTCTCACTTAGAGCCGAATTCTGTGTTGTGCGGGCGAGCATTTCAGGAACAATGAGATTGCATTCATGCTTTGCTACGGCCATATACGGTGGGGCATCTTTGAGGTCGCTTTGCACCTCTTCCAGCTTTGCCTGCTGAAAGAAATAAGGAATCTCGGGAACCCAATGAGGAGTGGTACGATCATCCGCCCCCCTGCCTAAGCGCATGAGTTCCTTAAGGGCGTCATCTTTGCAGCCTGGGCTGGTTTTCTCGATCCGATACGAAAGGGCATCTATTTCGGCCCATTGAAGGTAGCCACCAGGCTCTGTGCGATGATTAGTATACAATAGAACGTTGGGGATGGGGCCCAAGAATTAATATTTGGTGCATACTCAATAGCTGTAAAACGTTTCTGATGACCCTCTCAGCCTCCAAGTCCCTTATTACAAAGGAAAAGTTGCGAACGTGAACAATATCGTAGACACCACGGAGGTGATTAGGCGTTTCGGATAGTATGTCGTATGAGTGTAGAGTCATATTTGAAGGAAGGCATTCTTTTGGGGGGAGAGCGCTGAAAGATATATCAAGGCCATTCAGGGATACGGTGCTCGGAAGTCGACGAGATAGATCTGTCAACCAGATTCTGGTTGGAGCGTTAGCAGTAAGCTAGTTATCTTGTCTTTCTGCATGTTTTACCACCTACCCAGTGCCAGTGCCAACGTCGGCAATTCTCAAGTTTGGGTTGCTTGTAGGGATGGAAGGGTGGATATGGTAGCCGAACAGTTCGGTCCATAGATAATGTTGGAGGTTGATGCTGCGATTTCAGTTAGCAAATTGTACATCGAATATATTGAGCAAAACGTCCCGGTTGTCATCATGGAAATCACGAGTGAAAACGTATTCGGGCTTAGTCATGATGTAATTGAGAATCGATCTAGTATTAAAGCTTTTGGATGTCTATTAGTTTGTCCCCGGAAAGCATTAGGGCTTTTATGTGCTACAAATTGAGTATCGCAGACGTATGCTTTCATTGATGAAGATGAGACACTCTATATAGAGGAAACAGCGTAGATGATACGTCATTGTTTAAATTAGTTGAATCATTACCGTAGAAATAATGAGGAATATAGCGATGAAGGATACCATGATAAATTATTGTCCTTGAAGCTGAATCACAAAACTGGGCGACCGTCGAACTGCCATCAAGTCAATTAGCTGCAAGACAAGGAATCAATAAACTATGTCATCCTACACCCAAACAAAGGGCATAGGGCTGAGCTGGCGTAACTAGGTGCAATATTGACTAGCAAAGCTGTCAGAAGCACGGCGCGCTTTCCTTAGAGCAGGGGGTGAGACAACCAGGAAATGATAAGGTTCGGGTATGATCCGGTGGCTTGGAGTTCAGGTATGCGAACCCTGATGGAGATATATGGATACGACGTGGTAGGCTGTCGGAACCATGGTTGACGCGGAGAGAAAGAAACAGGAATAAGGAAGTTCAGGGGAAATT